AGAGCTACACGAGGAGAAAAGCAGGGACGTACCAATCTCGGAGATGGCAGTGAGCGGGGACATGTTGAGGAGGATGCGCTCGATGTGTTGCGACTCAAAAGTATGGTCGCAGAACCTGCCCTTCGCCTGACCGGTGTTGCAGGGCTGACAGGTGACACCGTATCCGTTCTTGAGACAGTCGCGGCCACGGAGACCACACTCGAGACAAGACCAAGTAGGCTGGGAAAGGAGTCAGTAGAAGTGCAAGGACGAAGTACGAGACATACGAAAGTAGCGTCGCCGGGTTCGGCCTTGCGAATGTCTTCGGCAGTGAGTGGCTCGAGTGGCTCGAAGGCCGAATGGAGGGTCTCGAGCGGAGGGTCCTTGCGATAGTTCTTGAAGGAAACAAGGCGAGAGAGGCGGGTGTGCGGGCGCGAATTGAAACGGGTAGCCGCGAGGAGGATCGTAGAGTCTTTGGTCTGAGGGATGTGAATGACGGCTAGGGTGACGTGAGCGAAGGATGAGTCGTCAATGGGAAGGACGTACGGGCCCCGTTCGAGCTCATCGTATTGGCGATACCGGCGTCGAGCTGCTCCAACCACAGCTTGTGGGCTTCGGCGGCCTGGGCGATCTTCTTCTGCTTCTGTGCCAGTTTCTCGGCGGCCTAAAAAGCGACGAATGAGCGACGACGAATAGAGCAGGGTTAAGGAAGATGGGAAACACACCTTTTCTTTCTCCTCCTCGTCGTCCTCGTCGCTCTCGACGATCACGGTGGTTTCGGCCAAAGATTTGCGACGCGGCGTTGGCTTGGAACGCGAGGTAGACGACGAAGCTGGAGTCGCAGTCTTCTTGACGGTAACGACGGCACGGGTTGGACGACGGGGCTGGATGAGATAGTATGAGCTGGTTAAATGGAAGAAGAAAAGCAGGGACTTGCCGTGTTATCTTCTTCGTCAGTCGCAGCGGGCGATTCAATGCGCCTAGGAAAAGTTAGGGGGGTCGAGTGGGGAGCGACAAAGAAAAGGACGAACGCTTTCTTTTTCTTGGGAGCGTCTTCTTGCTTGACGACGACTTCGTCGTCGTCATAGTCGTCGTCGTTGGCGTCATCCGCTTCGGCCTCGGAGGAAGAATCGTTGTTGGGTTGAGGGCGTTTGCCCAAAACCTTGGACGAAGGACCTCTAAGAGAAATTAATTAACCCATATCGAAGGAGAAGAAGCTGAGGGGAGTACTTACACGGCTGGCTTGGATGAAGAAGTTTTGGTGGTGGTGGCAGCTACCTCGTCGTCCAAAACGAACTTGCTGTTGGTCCGATGGAAAGAGGAAGTGCTGGAGGGAGCGGAGGCGATAACACGAGTTGGGAGCACAATAGGCATGGGGAGATGAAGGTCGGCCGGCTTGCGCTGCAACAAGGTTAGCTCGGGAGTTTGGAAGAGGATCGCACGTACGCCATTGCCGTCCCAGGCGGCGAGGGAAAAGTAGCGAAAATCAGGGTCGAGAACGTTGGTATCGGCCTTGGAAGCGAACCAGGCGCAATAATTCATAATGGCAATGAGCGCATCGGGTGTCGAGGAAGACGAGAAGCGCTCGAATTTGGAGTATACGGTGCGCTTGGGTTCAGGTCAGGCATGGGGCAGAAGGAGAGGAAAAGAGAAAAGCGTACCAAGATACCGATACCAGCGTTCAAGAGCTCGGCAAGGCGTTTTGGGGGATACTCATTGAAGAATTTCTTTTCGGTGTTGTGGTGGAAAAATGTGATAGCGTCGAGAAGAGCGGTGGCCTCGGGGCGCTTGAAGTAACGCCAGATGTCGTTGGTTTCGAAAGAGCAGTTACCGGTGGAGACGTCCTTGGTTTTGGGCATGGGGGAAGAGAGTAAAGAGCGGAATGACTCGGAAGGTCTGATATATGTGGGCGGCTGCGGGTCTGGAATCATGTTCTGTGAAGAACCCATGCTGCGGCAAAAGGGTTAGTCACAAAATAAGCTCGCTATTCAGCGGCGGGAAGCACACCTTGAACCGTGGGAAGCACAAGCGCTGGGCGGTGGGACCGAACAAGGGATGGGCAAAAGGAAACCAGGGGAAATTGGGTACCAATCGAGAGCAAATGGCAAGGAGATAAAGATGGGCTAGGAGTTGGACAGGGGACGGGACAAATGAAGCCTTAGACAGGGAAAGACCGGAGGACGTCCGAGAAAGGAAAGGGCTGTGCACAATGGCGATCCAATTGATTTCCAAAAGGGGAACAAATGCCCAAAGACGGTATCTGTCATATTTCGGTAACGAAATCTGTGATGGCCGCTGTTTGGAAGTTGGATGAAGTCGCTAAGTCAACATGCTGGAAACCCAAACACCGAATAAGCCTAGAGGTCGACTGGGGACAGTCGAGAAATAAAAATGGGGGAGATGATAAGCCGCTCTTATGAACAGGTGTGGAAAGGTCACTTTTCATGCTTATTCGGTGCGCCCGTCTATAGAACTAGTATGAGTCCCGAATAGCTAGTTGGGAGATATCTGCGACGGTGAACCAGAGTTGCGATGGGGTTGACGACCTGCGGAGCGCTACTGGTTCAACGGGAACACTACTACTAGCAGAGCCCACGTTATAGAACTATCCACTCTATAAAACACTCAAAGGGAGTGGCACCGACTATAGGCTTAGGCAGCCTAGGACAACAGTTTGGGACAGCATTGGATTGACGGTGACGCCGGCACTGGCCGGACCTACGAGACCGACTTCGCCCGAGGCTGCAGGAGTTACCGGAACAAACCCTGGCACCGACATCACGGCTATCTTCTTAATCACCGACCCGGACCAATCGAGCGGCCCGGCACCCTGGCAGAGAATAGGCCATAACTTGGGAAGGGCTTGGAGCCTGGAGACGAGCTAAACACGGCTAGGGAGCTACGGACGGCGACTACAATCCTGGGCCAAGAGGAGGAACAGACCAACGAAAACAGTACCGACGATCGGACTCAATAGCTGGCTGGTCATAGCCATTATCACATCTACACTGCATTTACTACTCGTACCCTACGGACTAAGGCGGAATAGGCCTCAGGTGATCAGGATTAGCGTATTCATAAGCACAGTATTATCAAGACTACTCGTTTTACACTATCAGGATTATGTAGTCTCACAGTATATAAGTAGGAAAGTTTGTACCGCCAGGACTTACGGAATTGCCCCGCTAGAGTTTTAGCAGCGTTCTGGGGTTGTGGCTGAGCAATAGCAAAGCTTTGACTTTATATTTTGGTTGGGTTTTCGGAGCGTGCGAATAAGAGTTTGGACTTGTCAGTGGGACCGATTAGGATTTGGGATTGGATTGGAAGCTTGAATAGGAACTTGGAGGATATTTGGGACTTGGCATTGAGTCGGGCAGCGACTATAACATCCGAGGACATCGTATTTGGCCGACCTTCACCGGGTTTTCGTCGAATAGTACGTCTATCGTGCGCAATACAACAAACTCTCGAACTACCTACCCTGCACCCACCACAAACGGCCCTGTACCCAGGGTTGAACTCGCTTGGAGTGTTCTCAGACATAGGATTGGATTGTAGAGAGGCAGAAAGCACTATTCGGTCTAGCTCTTTAAAGCATCCCGCTATTCAGAGTCTAGGTTTAGTTGTGTTAGTTCGCTTCACTCAGTTTGGTTTTATAGTCTAGTTCGCTAGCACACCTTTCACCGCTGCTGTAACAATTAGACTAAGAAACATGGCAATTGCCACATGCGCGCGAGGCTCTGATCCTGGCAATTGCCAGCCGCTAGCAACCACGGATTACCTGTTCGGGACGCTCCCCCGTGCTCTGTTGAGGGCTGCATCACTGTGATATCGCCTTGCGTCAGTCTCCATCTGGGCAAAGGGGGGGTCGTCGTCCACAACTAATGATGGCAGCTTGAAAGAATTAAATGCTGGGTGGGGATAGGCGCGTACTTGTTTGCTTCTGCTTGGCTACAGCGTCGTCGGCTCCGTGAACGGCTGGTTGATGGCTAGCTTCCACCCCGCTCCCGCAGGAATAGCTGTTCTCCGGGCAGACCCAACGGAGGAAGTCTGCCAGCCTCAGAATCCCGAATGCTGCAGTCCAACAACGAAATGAGCCAGGCATCTCCGGCCATCACGATGCTTGCTCTGCTACGCGCGCGCGTATCAGTACTTTTAGGCGGAGACTAGATACTCGCTTATTCGCGGCTGGCAGCCGGCTAGGAATTTGCTTCGGCTTGCGCTCGCTCTCGGCTCGTAATCGGCTTGGCTTGGGATCCATCTCTGTGCTTGAACACGTCCTTACACATTCCTCGCCTTCCTCGGTCTCATGTGGGAGGTAATGTTGTCGTCGGCCGCTAGCCTCCGCCTGTCGGACTTTCAGCCGGAGCCTGAATCCAGTCAACTACCGATCGCACCCAGACAACGTCCATGGGGTTAACTGATAAGATACTCTATCCGTTAATCAGCTTGCCCTCCGATTGTGCATTCGGATCCGGACGGCGATCACCTTGTTTCAAGCGGAGTATCTGCCCTGGGCTTGGGTTAACTGATAAGATGGCACGGGGTTACCTGATAAGATGTTCTATCCGTTGATCAGATTGCCCTCCCATGGTGCATTCGGATCCGGACGGTGATCACCTTGTTTCAAGCGGAGTATCTTCCCTGGACTCCGGCCGTGTGCATAATTCGTGCCGGTGACCTGATTCCTCACGCCGGCAGGTACCAACATATCCATGATCTGACAACCCTTGTTAAATATCGTGTCGAAGCCCATGTATATCAGTTTTTACAGGCATTTACCTGCGGACAGAAACGCGTTTTCTGATACTGTTTGATAAAACGTTGATTATCGAATCCTTGTCGTGGAAGGGTTCAGTGAAGTCAACGTCCAGAGCAAGATCCAATTTAAAGTAAGGAGAAAACGAACCTGTACAATGCAGAATGTCGGAAAAAAAAACGGGGGTTTGCCCCGGGTCCAATGCCGAATGCCGCAAACAGGCATGCAGTATTCGATGCTGGACCCGAGGGCATTCCCCCTTGGGTGCAAGGCGGGCTTGAACCACCATCTTTTCTTCCTCCGAAGGAATGCTCTTACCATTGAGCTATTGGACCGTTGGCCGTTACCTAGACAGCGCCAAAATCAATATATCAGTAAAAGACAAATAATAATCACAAGTCCTCACTCACCTGATCTTCGGCTCTCATTTTTGACAAGTCCACCAGAAGTACGAATGCAAGCAAGATTCATTCTATCGACGCAGAGTACATATCACCGAATGCCCCTCTTAGTAAACTTTTCATAGTAAATTGCCATACCTTCCAGTATCCATGCTACGTCAACGACTGCTGCACGCCAGACGGCCTGCCCGTCATCGGACTCGACAGAGCATCCCCACAGATATAATCCAGCTATAATGACTCCCACTCCGCCCTCGCCCCAGGTGAACAGATCGCCCCACTGCTTCCCTTCCCCGCCGTATTCAGTCTCGATTCTCCAAGTCCCGCCTAGCCCGCGTCGGCGCCAGACGGGCTGCAGACCATCCCACCATGATGTCCATGCCGCGACAAATGGTGCGAGCTTCGCCGGTGTGAGCCGTCGACTGCGTTTCGACTTCTTCAGCCATGTTGACAACGCCGCCGGAATCGAGCGTGCCGGAAGGGGTTCGGGATGGGAAGTGAATGATGCCTCCTCCATGCGAATCCAGGCATTCACCGCGGAGGTGAACTCATGCCCGAGTGGTATTTCCGTCACCAGCTCGTACAGGAGCCGGAACCACTGTGGAGCATCCTGGGCACAAGGACGAAGTTCCAGAGGAGCGTCCACCGCCGATGATGGACCAAGCCGTGAGCTACGCCGCGTCGCTGTGGCCTCCGCCGAGGTTCGGCCTTTTCTGCGCTTTGGCTTAACCGAAGGGGGCGCGGTCAGCACTGGCGAGGATACCGATGGCTGGGTCGGAATGATGGGTGCTGGCGAAGACGAGGACAATGCCGATGGTGGCTGCAGTGAGAAGGCGGTGGACGAAAAAAGAGGAGGTTGTAGTGGCGGGGTGACTGTGGGCGGTCTGGGCATGACCTGGGAGGAGAACGCCGGTGGACCGACGCCGTAGGTGGGTTGCGGACGAGGAATGGTTGAGCTAGGACGAGCAGTCAGCATGTGGGGACGCAGGTGTTGAGGAGAGGCGTACGCGGGCGGCCCGGAGTATTGTGGGGGCGTCGGTGCATGAAAGGCAGGTGTTGGATGGGTGCTCGGTGCTCTCGAGATGGGGCGGGGAGGAACGGTCTGAGTCGTCGAGCCATCACCCATCAAGGAAGACGAGATCGGCGTTGCCAGGGACATCGATGGATGATATGGCCCGTACTGAGAGAGTGTCGGCGCATGGAAGGCGGGCGTTGGACCGGTGGTAGGCGCTCTCGAGACGGGGCGGGAAGGAACGGTAGAGATGGGGCGGGAAGGAACGGTCTGAGTCGTCAGGCCATCACCCATCAAGGAAGACGAGATTGGCGTTACCATGGACATTGATGGATGATATGGCCTGTGCTGAGACAGTGCCAGCGCATCGAAGATGGGCGTTGGACGGGTGGTAAGCGCTCTCGAGATGGGGCGGGAAGGAACGGTCTGAGTCGTCAGGCCATCACCCATCAAGGAAGACGAGGTTGGCGGCCATAAGCTCGAGGAGGAGGATCCGGTTGCGATGGGCAAGCTCGTGTACTGTGAAGCGCCGACGTCGGGACCGCTGTAACGAGTAGAGTGGTCGGAGTGACCAAAATCCATCAACCCCATCCCTGGAATGCCGCTGAGTGAGCTTTCGACTCGAGCCGCACCCGATGAAGGCAAGGGTTAAGGTCCATCGGGCCGCCAGTGGGATCCTGGGGGATAAGAGGGCGTCGCAGGACCTTGTTCGTAGGGGGAGGGGAAGAACAAGGGCGGCGGATGGGGGGACAAGACACCATGACTGCCCTGGTCGTTGGTTTGGCCCCAGTTTTGGTGCTGCGGCATCTCGGGGGTACTAAATCGATGAAGCGCTCCGGGTAGGAAAGAGGTGCTTGGAGGAAAGGTTTGTGGTATCGGAGACCAGATGGGGGAGGTTGATGAATACGGAAGATGACCTCCCGCAGACGCAGGAGACACGAGTGGCGCAGGAGCGGCGGGAGGGACCATTGATGTCGGGAGGCGACCGTTTGAGTTTGCAGGACGACGACGTTTCTTCGGGGCTACACGATCCCCTTCGTCCGACCCCGAGTCTTCCTCTTCGTCATCGTCATCGTCCTCCGAAGACCATGGGTCAAAGTCGTTCGGTTGACGAGCCGGTGGGATCACCCAATTCCCGACTGCTGCTGTCCCAACTGCCCGCGGGGGAGGGTCTAGCGGGTCAAAGTTGGTCTCGGTGGTCTTGACAGCCGATTTGGCACAATCCTCCGCCGCTATGAGGAGCGTGAGTTGAGGATGAGGAATCATAGGCAAAAACACGCACTGTACGCCGTTTGTAGATATTCCACGAAGAATTCAAGGACCTGTGTCCTGAACCGCTGCCGGTCCCATTGTCCCCAGTGGAGCCCTTCGGGGGTGAGATTTCGCCCAAAGGATAGCCTGGCTAAGATCAGCGAAAAGCCTATAGTGACGATGAGCCGAATACGCACTGCAGGACACTGAGATCGCCGCCCAATTCCGGCTGTGGACCTCCGACGAGAAGTGTTGCATGGCAGCCGGTCATATTGAAAATTTCCTGCAGAATAGGGCCGATCCAGTGAACGAGTCGCATGAGAGCCCTGCGATACAATGTCAGCTGCAAGAATGGATCGAGCTCAAGACCGTACTGGTGCCGTGCCTCGGCTGAGGTATCCGCAGGTTGGTCCACTGCTGCGTCGTACTCCGCCTTGTCCTGGTCGGCCTTCTCCTTTGCCCTAGCTGCGTACCCGCCCCTCTGCGCTGGTGTCAAGCTGGCGAAGAGCCTTTTGGCAACTCTCGCCCGGAAGCCGGCGTCGGGAAACTTGTCACGAAGAGCTGGGTACGCGAGCTGTTCCAGAGCCCACTCCCGGTCGACAGCGGGGGGTGATGGTGTCCGGAGCCTCGCTCATGAATTGCTGGAACGGCTGTCGCCGTTTCTTTGCCTTCTTGGTACCGCCGAGTCGGAGGAGGAAACGGGCGAAGGGATCATTGATGTGGTCTCGCGTCCAGGAACGCCGAAAGCGATTGGCACGGCGAACACGATAGCGAAACCAGCGACGAATGCGCTGGAGGAGAGGTTGGTCAGCCAGTGATGAGAGTAACAGATCACAAACGTCAGTCATGAACTTGATCCGCTCCGCCTTGGCTGCCTGAGCCACTGGCGATAACGTCTCGTCAACGTCAGCTCCGTTGGGGTCCCAGGGACGCAAAACCACCTCCTCGCTATCTGGAGTGCTCCAATGAATTCGCCCAAAGAACTCGCGTATAATCCGCCGCAAGAGAATACGCTCAGCAGCGGTGCCGCGGTCTAACGCAGCGCTGTAGTCATCGAGGTACGGTTTGAGAATAGTCTCGCGCAGGCCTTCTGCCCATAGGCGGGCATTCTTCAGATCTTTCTTGTCGATACGCGGCTTCGGCTTTCGGACTCGTGGCATTGTGCAGGCTGAAGGAAGAGTTGAACAAGACGAACACGATAGATGCGGACATACTTACCGCAAGGACTCAAGTCTCAAATATGCAACTCGTTCCGAGCTCTGGGGAGGTGATTAATGGACCGCGGCGTACTCAAACAACACTTACAAGCAACGTCAAGGTCAAGGACAGCGCGGAATCACCGGTTGAACTGGGCGAAGGGAATGTGCAGAAGAGGCGATCTCAGAGAAAATCAGCACAGGGATTTTAAGTGCGACACGCTCTCCCTCCGGTTCCCTTTCGTCGGCTAATATACCAGGTGATGAGTGATTTAAAGGGCGATTTCACGCTGGCCCAATCCAATCGGTTTCCATCGGGCGGAAAGATCTTACCTTTGAATCGGATGCACCTGTATCACAGCGGAGTTCCAATCGCAGACTATAAAGCGCAGCGCTTTGTGTATGTTTGGCACTTTTGCACTTTCTTCCCGACCATCATCATGCCTGCCTCTCACCCAGATGCGACCGCAGGAGATAGTACTCCTGCGGTGGTGCAAGGTATGTCGCTTCTGGAGGCATGTTTACCTGCTCACCTTCCGTTCCTCCAGATCGTGTTCTCGCCCTCCACCAATTCTTGAGCGTGATTGCAGCGTCGCTCAGCAGCCCCGGTACACCCCACATCTCTCGCTTTCAAACTGGCCCTTAATCGCTGATGCAGGTGTCACTGTCGATGCTGTTGTCAAGTCCTGTGGGCTCAACGGTGCATCCTCTCTCCCTTCCTCTCTCATGCCTCTAACACCGTGGTACAGCACAGGCCGTTGCTGCATTCGAGGTCATGATCGGCGGCCTCGTTCTCGGTGGTATATACTCCCGTCCCCGTTTAGCCTATCTCACCAATTTCTCAGATCGCTTGCGCTCGTCCACCGTCTCTTCTGAGTCCTCCGTTACCGATACCGACACCTCGGATGCCGACGGCCTGCACCCCGCCAATCCCGCCCAGCCTTTCCGCAATTCCGGTCCTTTTCTAGTTGGACGATTGTACAAGGTGGTCCCGCAGGCTCCTCTCGCTCTTGCATCCGAGCGTGGCCTTGAGCCAGATGATGTCCGCTGGTATGCCGTTTCGCGTGGGACACACGTTGGTGTCACTACGATCAACGCCCTCGCTGTCGACTGTATCTCTGGCGTCAGCGATGGCCGTCAGAAGTCGTTTTCGACCCAGATCGCCGCAGCGGAGTATTTCAACCAGCTGCTCAGCCTTGGCGTTGTGGCTGTTTTGCCCTGAAGTATGTCTTTCTCTCTCTCTCCGATGCATTCACTCACGTTCTCCCCAGCCTGTTGCATATTTGCGTCTTGTATCGTACTATACATGAATTCAATTGTGTTGCCATCGCTGATCGCACGTGATTAATTGATTCTCGACGTGCAACTCCCTCTCTTGTGTGACTCCTACCACCATCTTCTCCCTCTGATCACTAGCCGAGCGTAAGATGCATACCACTGCACGCAACCTGCTGACGTCGGCTACAGATACAGAC